AGTGAAAGTCTACTTTGATTCACTGTTCCATAACTGCCAATGTAAATAATGAAATTTTATTTATTGATTTGTATTTTAGTGTTTACGTTAGAGATTGTCAAGATTGCAAGCTTGTCGTTGCTTGTCAGCAGTTTAGGTAAGGTGTATATTAAAGAAATCCTCGCAATTTTTGAAAGACAATTGACCATTTGCATAATAGACAAAATTTTAATCTAGACATAAATTTCATCACAGCTTGAAAGAGCATCACAAAATTAGTAATATTCCAAAGTTTCGTTGCGAAATGTTGTAAAATGCGGATAATATAGCCTTGCGAAGTTTGCCGTTTTTCAGTCATTTTAGATTACAAACGCGAAATTGACAGCCCGATACGCTTTGAGGCTGTCAATTTCCCGTTTGTAATCTAAAATCGGACTGAAAATTGCAAACTTCGCAAGGCTATATTATCTGCATTTTACAACATTTCGCAACGAAACTTTGGAATATTACTTATTTTGTGACGCTCTTTCAAGCTGTGATGAAATTTTTGTCCAGACTTGTTTAGATCAAAATTTTGTCTGTTACGCAAATGGTCAATTACCACCGGTATAACGCCGCCGTTGAACATGAAATTATCGATGGCAACTTTTTGCTAATGCATCTTCAAATTGTCATAATTCATAATTTAGAGACCCATTTTCTAAACTTGGCACAAGTTTTCAACAAGTAACACATTCATATTTAAGTGTACAACTTCTACTGTAGGATATAGAAATGAGCATGGTCAGTCTGAAGCCGCTTTGTCTGAATTGAAATTGAAAACGTTAAAAGAACGCAGATTAATCTTTAGGGGCAAGTTTATGTATAAAATTGCCCAATGCCAAGCACCACCTGTTTTAACCGATATCTTTGAAGACTCATCTGCTCCTCAACATAATTATAATTTAAGAGACCACGATTTCAAGTTTTACTTACCAAAACCAAAAACAGAATACTTGAAAAATAGCATCCGGTATAGTGGAGCAAAACTCTGGAACAGCTTACCTTGCGAGTTAAGAAGCGCAAATTCATTAAATCTATTCAATTCGTTGATTTCTGATACTAGCCTGCAGTCTTAAATCTATTATTATATCTTTATTTAACCATGATTTAACTAATTGTAAAATTTAATATGTAAGTGTAACTATTGTATATATTTTATCATCACGCCCCTCTTGGAAATCAGCAAATGCTGAAGGGGTTATAGCGTGTTTAAATAAAGTTTTATCTACATCTACAGGACAAGAGATTGCAGAAGGCTAGACGTCTTCCTGTGCTGTAACACACAGCCGATCATCGAATCTTCAACGGGCATGAAGTTCGCTTGTTTCCAATACAACTATCCAGAATTAGAAGGTAATGGTAATTTACATGCATGATATTGATAAAACTACATTCAACAGCTGATTCCAGCTGTATAGACTAAATTTTGATCTAGGCAAAAAGAACGAAATCCATCAAGTGAACACGGCTGGAAAGAGCATGTTGTAATTGGTAAAATTGCAAAGTTTGGCCACAAAATGTTGTAAAATGTGGAAAATATAGCCCTGCAAAGTAAATTTTGTATATATTTGCATTACGCGCTGGAAAAATAACCATTTTTGAGTCGAAAGTGGTTATTTTTACCGTGCGTAATACAAATATATACAAAATTTGCGAACTTCACAGGCCAATCTTTACCGTTTAACTCATTCCAAGACGCTCTTTCTAGCTGTGGTGTTAGATTTTGTTCTTCTTGCCTTGATCAAAATTTACTGTACAGCTGGAATCATCCATTCATGACGACTGACCGCACCCATCTTGTTTTAGGCCGGCGAACGGTGAATTTCGCCATCGCTAAGAAGACATTTTACAACCATTCGCCAGAGGCTGTGTGTAATTCGCCGATCTTGCAGTCATGACAAGTTGAAATTTTTAGCCCAGTCTTGCACTCGGACAATATACCAAATAGACAAAGCTTGCAAGCCTTTGCCAAACACTCAACTCACAGTGCCCTTGAACCTTCGACATTCCATTCTTTGCATACTCGCTTCGCTCATCAATTAATAGCCGGAGCCTCAGTAGAGCGAAACAGTATTGGCCATACCCAAATTATTATTATTAGCCAGGACTTAAAACGGATACCGGAAGGGTTGCTGACCACATTGACCTGTGAAGCTGCAATGCAACCAAATGCACCCCAGTTTGTTATTTTACTCTTTCAAATCTGACGATTTTACTTATTAGTGGACCATTCCCCAATTAACCAAAATTTTGATCTCAACAAGTCTAGACAAAATTGCATTATGGCATGAAAGAGCATCACAAAATTAGTAATATTCCAAAGTTTCATTGCGAAATGTTGTAAAATGCGGATAATATAGCCTTGAGAAATTTGCAATTTTCAGTCATTTTAGATTACAAACGATAAATGGTTACCACTTTTCCAAAATTTTGATCTTAACTAGCCTAAACAAAAATTTCATCACAGCTTGAAAGAGCGTCACGAAATTAGCAATATTCCAACGTTTCGTGGCCAAATATTGTAAAATGCGGATAATATAGCCTTCGAAGTTTGTGATGTTCAGTCATTTTAGATTACGCACAGAAGTGGTAACCGTTTCCCGTTTGTAATCTAAAATGACTGAAAATTGCAAACTTCGCAAGGCTATATTATCCGCATTTTACAACATTTTGCAACGAAACTTTGGAATATTACTAATTTTGTGATGCTCTTTCAAGCTGTGATGAAATTTTTGTCTAGACTTGTTGAGTTCAAAATTTTGGTTAATTGGGGAATGGTCCATTCATATGAATTATTAACATTATTGTGTTCATTGCTATATAGGTCAGTTTGATGCAGCTGGACTCAGTGTTTACAACAATAACTGGAGCAACATTCATGACTTCACGCCAGCTGCCGATGTGGAAACATGGTCCCTTTTACCAGAAGTAAATATAATGTTATTTTACATTAGTGATGCACCGATATCGGTATCGGCACTAAAATAGAAATATCGGTAATGTTGTGTTTGTGGTGTTACCCTGAGTGCATATCCACACCGGGCGAGCTTGAAAAATATGCCCGGCCACGGTGGGAACGTGGCCGGGCATATTTTTCAAGCTCGCCCGGTGTGGATATACACTCAGGGTAACACCACAATCATCACATTCACCTGAGTACACAACACCAACACAGAAAAAATCGGTACTGTTGTTGTTAATATTACCGATATTACAAACCGTCATTGAATATTATTATATGGCAAGCATCACTTTCAGTGAAATGGCGGACTATGATTGGCTGAGAAGCACTTTCAGCGGCCAGTCCATTACGTAAAAACAAACGCATGCATTTTAAAACAAAACAGCAAAACTAATTGAAAATTTGAAAATTATAATTAAATTTGTTATTAATAAGATATTTGCGAATGGTTTTTAGTGGAAAGGGGAATACATTGGTAATGTTTGTTTTCTTCGACCAAATGTGTACCACGCTACTAATATGCATTTCAAATCTTGCATTTCTTGTTTGTTTCAAGTATATAAATGCCATATAATAAACTTTTTATTAACCTCGCTTGTTCGGTCTTTACAGAGAAATATTGCACCTCGGTCTTTTTGTACAAACCTCGTCCCTACGGCACAGAATAAAGATCCATATAGAAGGGCCACTTACGTCGGAAGCTTTGACGTTTCTGTCCTCGCGCATGCCGCATTACGCATGTTGGCCGCCATTTTCCTAGCCAGTTAATGACATTTTCTGGCCAATAAACACGCTGTACTGGCTGGCTGCTCCGCCTTCTGGCCAGTAAACTGCATATTTTTGCATGAAAAAACGAGGACGCGTTGCACCGCTGAGTGGCCCTTCTGTTACTGATCTTTATTTTGTGCCTACGGGCTCGGTCTGTACAAAAAAAGACCTCAGTCCGATATTTCTTTGTAAAGACCTTGCGTTCGGTTAATAAGAAGTTATCAATGATTGGTTATATGGTTGCAGTTCAATAGTTATTTTTATTGCAAATAAACTAACGTAGTATAATATTATTATTAATACTAGTTTGTTGCATATAATATACTTAATATTTATTTACACGATGTGTTTTGAAACATCTTGCAAGTTCCCTTAAGGCCATGTTACACGGTGCAATTTTTCTTGCAACTTGCAATGCAATTCTACTCTTGAGAGATGTTAATTAGTGAAATTTGTGAAGAATTTTCGATATGTTGAGAAAACATCAGCGGAGTGTAATGAAGACTCATATTTGGTAATTTTACATCTCTCAAGAGTAGAATTGCATTGCAAGTTGCAAGAAAAATTGCACCGTGTAACATGGCCTTTATTGAATGATTTTTTCTGTCACTATAGGATGCCAAAGTTTCTGACTATGTTCCACATCCTCCATGTCGTTACTTTCCTGAAATGGAAGTTTCAGCTGATGCTGATTCCAGTGTTGTCCCTCTAACATTAGGCACGAGAAGAAAACAATCCGATGAGGTATTGATGATAAGTACTGTTTAATTTAATTTTAATTTTAATTTATAAACTTTGCCGATGAAACAGTACATTACATGACAGGACAAAAACAAACGTACATAATGAAATACAGTAGGTACATGACCACGTCTGGGTGACCGCAACAGCGAATAGCCAATTACTGCGGGCCCGAACATGAGCAATAGTGTTTTATCGGGTATTTAAGATACGAAGATACGAAGTCGAGTATCTTTAGGTCTAATAAAACGCGCACTGCGAACTGCTTCAAAAACGATCGATCTATAGTAAGTTCATTGGCGAAGTAATTTTCAAAAACTTATACGTTGTGTAAGTCGAGAAAATCAAAGTTAAGTAAATCAAGGAACATGCCTCTCAGATGTTCAGGAATGGTCTGAATGCATGCTTCAGTAAAGTAGAAAATTTCAGTTTTTCCGAATACATTCTGCAATATTTACCGACCAGATTTAATAACAGTCGTACCCAACTACCCAAGACGTAAATTCATCAAATGATGCCATCAAAAACTTAAAATTTCCTGTTCTGTGGCCGAATCTTATTCGTTGACTTGATATACGAACGTTTTCCAGCAATTGGGTTTGAGCAAATTAGTGGACACTCAATTTTGACAATATGAAACATAACTTTAAAAAATTTCTTCTGTGCCTGGTCCCATGTCGCAATTTGCAAGCTTCAAGCGAAGCCAGGAAGTTTGGACTACGCAGGGCTAACTGAAAATGTTTTTTGGCTACCTGCAAAAAAATTGATATACAGGCATGTCAAGGGAATTATCAAATCTTTATCACATATAAAGATATGACACGCTCATGATTTTTCTTCCTCATGATTTTTCTTCCTCATGAATTATTAATGAGTTTTTGAAGTATAAATAGCATGTATAATTAATTGAAGTAATATTAAAGTGGCGTTAGTTTTGTACTAAAATCAGTGACAAACTTTCTGCACCGATTAGGCTGAGAAAGATAAATACATAGCTTGTACCAGATCCAGCGCAGAAACGCGGTAGAAATTTAATTATCGCTTATTTTCTTTTCTTTATCAGTCATGTTTGGTGGTGTTCTATGGAGGACGGCAAACAAGAAATAATGTAAAATTGTATTTGCGTGAGGTCAGATTAAAGGTACAGTGTGCTCCATAATCAATGGACCATTTGCATAAAAGGATAAATTTTGATCTCAACAAGTCTAGACAAAAATTTCATCACAGCTTGGAAGAGCATCACAAAATTAGTAATATTCCAAAGTTTCGTTGCGAAATGTTGTAAAATGCGGATAATATAGCCTTGCGAAGTTTGCCATTTTTCAGTCATTTTCTATTACATTAATTTCTATTATTTTACAACATTTCGCAACGAAACTTTGGAACAGGGTCTTAGCTAGAGGGCCGTGTTGGCCGTGTTATCGCGGCCAAAAGTGGAAAAACACGGCTAGATAAAATGAACGCGGCTTCAATATTCATATAAGGCCGTGTAGGTTCATAAAATAAAATGGTGCTACTTACAACAGACAGAATTTCTTCCTGTTTATGTCGTAAGAAAGTTTGTAAAATCTACTGTTGTTGTTGAATTGGCAAAAGTGATTCGTGATGTTTTAATATTTTGATGGATAATGGGAAGTGTATATGGTGTTAAAATGGTTTTAAATGCCCCCAAGAGTTGCTGAAATAACTTAATATTTTAATGTCAGTGCGCAATATGAGCGTATGCTCGCCTTGTATTTGGTTGCAAAGCACAGAACAACAACAGGCATTGTCTGTTGTTGGCGAGCATAACTATAGAACCGTGATTTTGCTATTCAAGGTAATTGACATGTGCACGCCCTGGTCATTAGAAACACGTCCAAGATCTAAAATCCTAGCTAAGACCCTGCTTTGGAATATTATTAATTTTGTGATGCTCTTTCAAGCTGTGATGAAATTTTCGTCTAGACTTGTTTAGATCAAAATTTAGTCTCCATTTCGCTTTATCCCATAAAAATATGGCTGTATCTATTATCAACCAAATAATATTTGCATGATATATAGGCAATTTTATGCAAATTTTTAACATCAAATATGCTTACTCGATTTTGAAATATCGATAGCTCAGTTAATGTTGCAAGGACATTCAAATATTATATATCAATATCTAAGTTAGCCCTTTCTGAACACAATAAGACTTATTTGTCAGCTTTTATGGTTGTTACGTTACATTAAATCAAACAGCGCAAGTTTTTTGGGAGACACCCGGTATAGTATAAAATTGAAACAGTGATAGCCATTCATCTTTGTGTCAGGTACCCTTTTAATGCAATGTTTGTAGTAATTGTAATGAAGGGCAAAATTGGATGAGTTGTACAGTCTTAATTCATTAAGACACTGATACATATGTACACTACATGCATACGTCGCTTCGTTGACGTTGACCCGTTCTAAGCCCTAACTTTCCAAGGGAGTCTTCTTTAGCTAAACCGTTGCACCTTCCCTACATTTTTTTCACCTCCTGATTCAGTCTAATAAATGTATATCAATTTCCACTCAATAATTTCCATCTACAATACCCTTCGATACTCGATAATTTCCATCTACAATACTCGATAATTTCCATCTACAATATTCGATATTTCTTCATTACAATTGTTATTGGATGTCTTTTTTATGGTTTGAGTTAAGCTGAAACATGATTGTTTCTCGGAGTGGGAACTTGTACCTGCGGGTGTTCCGCAGGGGGCAAAGTTGGGGCCTTGGCTATTCCTGATTATGATCAATGACCTTAAGTTGCAAAATGAAATGTGGAAATTCGTGGACGATACCACTGTCAGTGAAGTAATTGGAAAAGATGAAACAAGTAACTTGCAAAACCAAGTGGACATTTTAGCGAACAGCATTTCAAGTTCCAGTTAAACGAAGCAAAGCGCAAAGAAATGAGAATTTGTTTTGGATCTAATGTTAACGACTTTCAACCAATTACCATCAATAACATTACACTGGATATTGTCCAAAATGCGAAAGTTTTGGGATTGCATATAGCTAACAATCTTAAGTTGAATATTCACGTGAATGAAGTGATCAAGAAATGTCGTAAACGCCTTTACCGTCTTACCCAACTAAAACGAGCAAATATTGGACTTAAGGAATTACATGTACTTCAATTTTACAAATCGTGTATAAGACCTGTTTTGGAGTATGCCTGCCCGGTCTTCCACAATAGCCTTACATGCATTGTATTTGTCAAACGACCTAGAATCAGTCCAAAAGCGAGAACTAAAAGTTCGGAAGGTGGGTCATTGGTGGGTCCCGACCATTGGAATGTAGGCCTGCGCAGAACGGACTTTACATCACCTTTAATGAGTTTAACAATTTTATATATAGAGAGTAGTACATATAATATGCATGCTAAATTCTATGATCTAATTCTACTGTCTATAGGGATCATATCAACTAGTTCAAACAAAAGAGGTAAAGATGACGATTGAAGATGCTCAGAGAGTATTTGGAAACGAGCATGACATGACCAATATTCAACAAGGTAAGGATTTTATTTAGCCTCCATTTGCACTGCACACACATATTGTTAAAAGTGTCTTATTATTGTCACTGTAAAACCTGTTTCTCTTGTATAAAACCTGTTTCTTTATTGTGCATCACAGTCAAATTTCGGTGTACGCACATGAAAATGAAATAAAAAGGTCGTTTACTGATTGTGGAAATGAAATTTCGTTGTGCGAAGGCGTAAACTGTCCTTAAACTGTCCAGAATATGCCCGTTCGATTCTGCAAGATTGAAACCTTCTGATGAAGAAATAGTTTCCCATTCTCAAAACAAACTTTTCCCACTCTTGGAATATTTTCCCGCGCAGGTTCTCATGCATGCTTGGCCTCAAATTCGCTTCAACAATATGATTTGATCACTACCCTAGTTGTTCATTGGGGCTAGCCAAAGGTGGGGGAAAATAGCGGACCATGGGACCAGAAAATTGTTCTAATCAAGCAACCTCGCAAGCCAGGCTAGGCTCTCTTCTTCCGCTCAGGGGCGAAACTATCCTCTTTTAATTAAGGGGTGTGTCTGCTAGAATTGCCCTGCAAAAGCCGATGATGCCCTGCAGCAAATTTTTTTTGGCCACTATTTTTCCCAAAAATGTTGGCGAGCAGGGGGGGGATAGAGGTTGAAAAAAACTTTTCCGGACATTCCAAAAAAGGGTCGGAAAAATTTTCCGGACATAAACCAGTTAAATTAAGGGTCAAAAAATTTTTCACTACAATTTCCTGTTAAAACATGCGCGAAACCCTTATTTTTGGACCAATATCTGAAAATTTGGGTCTATAAATCCCTGTAAGTTACTTAATAACTCTACATTCTATCATTTAAAATCTTTTATTGCCCTACCAATCCAGATGATTCACCCTGCCAATCCAGATTATTCGTACTTTGGGGGTGTCACACCCCCCCCCCATACCCCCTCAAGTTTCGTCCCTGCTTCCGCTTCCCTCCCAGACACGCTCCTTTTTGGGAGCGAAGCGGAAGTAAGAGAGCCTGGCTTGCCAGGTTAGTTGTCAAGCTGAAGGAAAATAGAAAAATATAAGTATCAACGAAATAGAACAGATGCAGTATATTCTCAACCTTTCTCAGGACCCTTTGAATCTAAGTTCATCGAGTGTTAAACCTTACCCATTTGAACCATGCAGTTCGCCTACTGTAAACTGGGGTGCAAGCTGTACATTGAAACTTGGACTTAATTTTCAGCATTAATTTTGCTTTTAAAAATTCTGTTTAATCTACCAGAATAGGACATTCCATTTGACTCTTTGTCACCGTATAGGCAGTTAAAGTATAGGTATGGACTGTCATGTTACTCTCTGGTCCCAGAAAATATAATAGCTTAGTAGTTTACCACTCCTAAAGTTAGTATACCAATGTGTGTAGAATTCGCAGACCTTCATGCATTTCTGTGCAAATTCAATATGGCGGAATTGTATAAAGGCATATAGTATACTGTATACGTGGCGTATGCATGTACTGTACATAATTATATACAATTGTGGTGAATAATATATGAAACGACTATATATACATCATTGACATAATAAACGAACTCCCCCTAGAGAAGTTATGCAGCACTATTCCCTATGAATAGCGATTAGCGGAACTTCTACTGCCGATTTCTTGAAACGATTTAATTGATTTGTGAGTTCACGAGCACATACTCAGAATGCTTTATCAAAATTGTTATGTATACAGCCATATTTTCAAATACATTGTACTTGAGCAAGTAAATTTACTGTACTATGCTACACCAACTGTCCAGTCACGCATATACTGTACGTGATAAAAAAAAAACGATATAAACTTTATAAACAAAAGATAATGTAAAACGTAATAGAACGGCGAACATGCAGATTCGGCCACCTCAAATAATGGTAATTTTGGGATAGTAGCGTTGCAGACTGCAGAGGAGAGTGTACAGTAAGGCTCCCTCGTACATCGCCTCATGTATAGTAGCGTTGCAGACTACAGAGGAGAGTGTGCAGTAAGGCTCCCTCATACATCGCCTCATGTATAGTAGCGTTGCAGACTACAGAGGAGAGTGTGCAGTAAGGCTCCCTCATACACCACCTCATGTATAGTAGCGTTGCAGACTACAGAGGAGAGTGTGCAGTAAGGCTCCCTCGTACATCGCCTCATGTATAGTAGCGTTGCAGACTGCAGAGGAGAGTGTGCAGTAAGGCTCCCTCATACACCACCTCATGTATAGTAGCCTTGCAGACTGCAGAGGAGAGTGTGCAGTAAGGCTCCCTCGTACATCGCCTCATGTATAGTAGCGTTGCAGACTGCAGAGGAGAGTGTGCAGTAAGGCTCCCTCGTACATCGCCTCATGTATAGTAGCGTTGCAGACTGCAGAGGAGAGTGTGCAGTAAGGCTCTTTCATACACCACCTCATGTATAGTAGCCTTGCAGACTGCAGAGGAGAGTGTGCAGTAAGGCTCCCTCGTACATCGCCTCATGTATAGTAGCGTTGCAGACTGCAGAGGAGAGTGTGCAGTAAGGCTCCCTCGTACATCGCCTCATGTATAGTAGCGTTGCAGACTGCAGAGGAGAGTGGGCAGTAAGTCTTCCTCATACACCACCTCATGTATAGTAACGTTGCAGATTGCAGAGGAGAGTGTGCAGTAAGGCTCCCTCGTACATTGCCTCATGTATAGTAGCGTTGCAGACTGCAGAGGAGAGTGGGCAGTAAGTCTTCCTCGTACATCACCTCATGTATAGTAACGTTGCAGACTGCAGAGGAGAGTGAGTAGTAAGTCTTACTCATACATCGCCTCATGTATAGTAGCGTTGCAGACTGCAGAGGAAAGTGGGCAGTAAGTCTTCCTCATACATCACCTCATGTATAGTAACGTTGCAGACTGCAGAGGAGAGTGAGTAGTAAGTCTTCCTCATACATCACCTCATGTATAGTAGCGTTGCAGACTGCAGAGGAGAGTGGGCAGTAAGGCTCCCTCACCCACCACCTCATATATAGTAGCGTTGCAGACTGCAGAGGAGAGTGGGCAGTAAGGCTCCCTCGTACACCACCTCATGTATAGTAACGTTGCAGACTGCAGAGGAGAGTGAGTAGTAAGTCTTACTCATACATCACCTCATGTATAGTAGCGTTGCAGACTGCAGAGGAAAGTGGGCAGTAAGTCTTCCTCGTACATCATCTCATGTATAGTAACGTTGCAGACTGCAGAGGAGAGTGAGTAGTAAGTCTTCCTCATACATCACCTCATGTATAGTAGCGTTGCAGACTGCAGAGGAGAGTGGGCAGTAAGGCTCCCTCACCCACCACCTCATATATAGTAGCGTTGCAGACTGCAGAGGAGAGTGGGCAGTAAGGCTCCCTCATACACCACCTCATGTATAGTAGCATAGCAGACTGCAGAGTAGAGTGAGTAGCAAGGCTCCCTCATACATCACCTCATGTATAGTAGCGTTGCAGACTGCAGAGGAGAGTGGGCAGTAAGGCTCCCTCATACACCACCTCATGTACAGTAGCATAGTAGACTGCAGAGGAGAGTGGGCAGTAAGGCTCCCTCATACACCACCTCATGTATAGTAGCATAGCAGACTGCAGAGTAGAGTGAGTAGCAAGGCTCCCTCATACACCACCTCATGTATAGTAGCGCTGCAGACTGCATTAGAGTGGACAGTAATGCTCCCTCATACACCACCTCATGTATAGTAACGTTGCAGACTGCATTAGAGTGGACAGTAATGCTCCCTCATACACCACCCCATGTATAGTAACGTTGCAGACTGCAGAGGAGAGTGGACAGTAAGGCTCCCTCATACACCACCTCATGTATAGTAGCGCTGCAGACTGCATTAGAGTGGGCAGTAAGGCTCCCTCATGCACCACCTCATGTATAGTATAGCGTTGCAGACTGCAGAGGAGAGTGGGCACAAGGCATATACCGGGGGACATTTGCCCCCCAGGCCCTCCTGTTGGCCCCCACTCATGCAAAATCCCGCCCCCCCCCCCAATCCTTGGGCTCTTTTAACACATTTTTGTGTGGAATCATTAAAATGTGAATATATATAGTAAGTCTTTGTCTGTATATTTTTATCATAGTCAATGAGAGTATATATGAAGAAATTCTTTAGGGATTCGTCTGGATGTTTGTAAACTTTAACTTTTATATATTACAGTAGCTTTGAGTTAAAATATATGTTGAAAGACGATCACATTGCGAGTAAAAGTGTTAAACATTAACTTTTTATTGTATTCAGAATTATTTAAAATGCCCCCAAAACGCACGAAATAGTAATTTTGGAGTCTCCAGATTTCAAAATTTTGCATGGGGATACAAAACTCGTGCCTTCGGCGCTTGCTCCAATGGGCCCTTTTCCAAGTTATGGACCCCCACTTATAAATATATGGACCCCCACTTATAAATCTTTAAAATATGTCTTGGTGGGCAGTAAGGCTCCCTCATGCACCACCCCATCCAAAACCTGCACCCCTCCTTGCAGATGAGGCTAGATCCGACCCCTGACTCCTGCTATGTCTCGAACAATTTTTCGCTTGCCTTAGGAGTTCCACTGTTAGCTTGGTTAAGCCCGTTCTCCACTAGGTGAGTTTGTTCGCGCGAACAGTAAAAAATAGGTCTGATCCAACTTTTTGGCGGCGAATTTTTTCGCTGACCAATCACATTGCCAAGATTTGTTTTTCGCTTCACGTCGCGCGAAAAATTCGCCTAGTGGAGAACGGGCTTTATGCTGTAGATTATTTCGTTTCAGGCGCTGTTATAGGTTTAGAAATCAACGGGGATAATTGTATCCAGGTTTGTAATGAAATAATGGGCACGCTGTTTAAAGGGAGAAACAAATCTGAACTTGCATTTATATCAAAAAGTAACGAAACAGCAGCTAGGAATATCGACGATTTTTATAATTTCGTCGATATGACTATGTCGTAGAGCAATCAATTGTAAAATACTATATTATTAATTGTATATTATACTGTATATTATATATAAATAATTTATGTTATAAAATAATAAGCAGTGCCCGCTTGCAAATTAAAGTTTTGCTCATTGATTGAACGTGGTCGAGATTGCTATTAATAATATTTACTTTAATTAAAGGGAAATGACAATATAAATTTTTATTTTCTCATTTGAAAGAACTTTTGAAACTATATATTAACTTCTTTTACCGATTTTGCATATCTTGCTTAGTTCTTGAAATATTTTCTTTTGAAGTAATGAGATGTCCGCCATCTTGGATAAATTTTTCATCTCATTAACGGTGGTTTTGGTGACGTCACAACAGGGATTAACCATATAAAACTATTCGTTGCTGACCAAATATTGATTGGTCGATGTTTTAAAGGTTTTGAGTGATTCGAAGGGCAGACCGGGTATATAGTTTTGAGTGGAAATGATTAGTGCTTGTCTAGATAAAAATGTTGGGTGACCCCTGTTGTGACGTGACATGCATATATCTACAAAAATTGAAGATGGCGGGCATTTCATTCCTTTCGCTCAAAATATCTGTAGAAGGGGGCAAGATATAAAAAAGGTAAAGAGTGTTATATATAGTCTTAAAAGTTCTTTCAAACGAGAAAATAAAAATATAGCTATATTGCCGTTTCCCTTTATTAGTACTGTAACTATATAAAAGCTTTCTCCCCAACAATCTGAAAGATAAATTTTGCAACTGGCAAAAAATGAAATGATAACGTACTACAGTCAAAATTCAAACAACGTATGCAAACTATACATGCATGAATATTAATATCAACACAGATTTTCCTCAATGCTCATATATGTATTTTTACAAATACTTATATAGCTTGACATACAAAGTATAACAAAACTAAACTACTTATATATCTAATATTTAACCTATCTAATATTATTAATACAACAAATTAATGCATTTTCTAGTAATTTGAAAGGATTGTTCTTCAGCAAGACTGCAAAAAATATTTTGATCACAACATTTGAGTAAAATAATTGCACGCGCATCATAAAATTACTCGTAATGACTCATATTTACGAGCAAAGTTTACAAATCTATTTCCAGTAAATCATCATCGTCTGTACAACTACTTCGTTCGCTTCGTTTTGGTGCTCTGGCCACTTTTGTCATTTGTTTCCATCTGAAAAATAAACGACTCACTCAAATATCGAAGACTATAAGAAGCAATGTCAACATGTGCAGTCGTATGTCAATACAATATGTATATCAATCAGAGTCACTATCTTGATAATTTTCCGATTTATTAGGAGGCAAACGGTGTCTCCAAAGAAAGTACATGTGCAGACAACATGAAACTTTAGACTGCAGAAAATTGTACAAGCAGTTATCAAACTCAGTCACAGAAGTGGTATATAAAGGACATGTGTGACAACTGAACGGTGTCCTTTTGTAAAGTTTTTTGCCAGGGGTGGGTAGTTATTTTTTAATTGATATTTGAAGTTGGTTAAAAATTTTACTGCACCAGTATTATGTTTTATTCTCTGTTGCAATATTTTGACCGTTTGTTCGGCGATAATCCATTTGAAATGTTTTGTCAATTTTGTTTTTAAAACTTGAAGTGAAGTAAATGGTTTTAGAACAACTATCGCTGACAGAAAAGTTAAGATATTTTATGTAGATGCTTTGTAAAAAAGTAAGTGCTTGTTGATTGCAAATTCGTTCGTTTTTCGTTGCGAATTTTCTGAATAATTTATGTTCTTATGGTATTAATCAGTGGTGGATCCAGCAAAGTTCTTTTTTTTATGGGGGTGCTAACCAATGGCGCATTCTAATTTGGATCTCCGAAATGGCATTTCCAGCATTGGAGAAAACATTCTGGAAAATTTTTAGATTCTCAAAACATTTCAAAATTCAGAATTTAATTTAATCCCCCCCCCATGCACCCCTGTTGACCAGAGCCTGGTGGGTGCGCACACCCCTAAATCCACCACTGGTATTAATTCTTTCAAAAACTGTTCCGACATTTTGTTTTCCGCTGCTCGTTCCATGTGAGCTGATATACGGCGAGTAGCTCGTCCAATTGGATTGCAGAATAGCTCACATATACCGTAGATGAATGTATTCTGTAATTGTCGTTTACCTTGTCTGTAAATGCTCCATCTGAACTCGTAGCACGTGACATTGCTGGGTTTGGTCGTCCAATTGTCTTTGTAATTTTCGAGCTAAATTCTCCTTCTGGTCAACCTGAGCAAAGAAGAAGTATCGTGATCATATTTTGTAAGACAGAGAAAGAATAAAGATTTGGAAAAAACAAAGCATGAACAATTCATCTGTGGGAACACTATATTCACTTTCTCTCATCAAACGAGAACGAGAGTTGGCAGTGACGTGATCTTGGTTAGCTGTTCTTAATGCTTTCTAGCCTGCGTAGCCGGCGGTTTTAAGGGTTGGAGTTGAGGAGCGGGCAACGAAAATTAGGGAGGCGAGGCTGCATTTTCCCCTTCCCGCGCCTCGCCTCCACGTTGCCCGCGCCTCAAACCCAACCCTTAGGCTAAATGCTTTCCTCACACTTGTCATCAAGTATGGAACAAGCTAAGCTGTTAACAATTTGCGACAACCTTGTTGATATTATCAGACTTGTTGCAAGGTTGTTCCAACAAGTCCGATACAGTCATGATATAACAATATTCTTACAACCTTGTGTCATCAACTTTCTAACATTCTTGTTATATCATGACTGTATTAGACTTGTTAGAACAACCTTGTAACAAGTTTGATCATGCCATCTAGCTTGTTACAAGTTGTTAACAGCTTGTTCCAAACTTGTTGCAACAACTGGGAACAAGCAGTGCGAACACATCTTGTCCACAGCTTGTGAACAGACTTGTAACAAATTGTTGTAGATCTATAACAACTTGTGCTTTTTTACGTGTGTGAAGCTCGAAATATCTCGTGTAGTAGTGAGTGACTGCCCAGCTCTCATCAGCTCGTATCCTTGCTTGCCTGCATGGGTTTAAGATGTATACCTCATCCTCAGCCGTCGTCAGTTTCATCTTCAGTTCATCAATTCTCCCGCGAAGTTTTTTAATTTCGTCTTCATGATGATCAACCCGTGTCCTGTTGTGCAAAATGTCTTCTTTCTGTAAAAATATCGATATAAAGTCAAGTAACTCTCAAAAAAATACACCCGGGGTACACACGTTTATTAGGAATAAGGTTCCTCTAGAAATTCTTACAGGAAATCCTACAGCAAATTTCCTAATCATATTGCATCAGACCGGAATTTGGGCCAAAATCTAATAGGAATTCCGACATGAATTGGTTGATTGCCTAACTATTGTCGTATTGATTGTAATCTCAGCTACATTTGAGAAGAATTAATGTTCCAAGTTCTCTCCGAGTACACGCGTGAAAATCTCACAACTTGTCAACAAGATGTGTTCGCAACAGACTTGTAGCAAGTTTGTCAACAAGTTGTAATAATGCTGTTATTTATTATTATTATTATTGCTACAATGATGTCACTCGCAACTTGTTGACAAATTGTTAATGGACCTTTCCCCTTGTAACTAAAATCTCGATCTAGACAAAAATTTCATCACAGCTTGAAAGAGCATCACAAAATTAGTAATATTCCAAAGTTTTGTTGCAAAATATTGTAAAATGCGGATAATATAGCCTTGCGCAGTTTACCGTTTTTCAGTCATTTTGTATTACAAACGGGAAATTGACATCCGATTCGGGTGTTGGGGCTGCAATTTCCCGTTTGTAATGCAAAATGACTGAAAATTGCAAACTTTGCAAGGCTCTATTTTCCTCATTTTACAACATTTCGCAACGAAACTTTGGAATATTACTAATTTTGTGATGCTCTTTCAAGTTATATGTAAACAACGAGTTTGAGTGTTTCATCAGGGGATCCAAACACGAGAAAACTGTATGAAACACGAGCGCGAAGCGCGAGTGTTTTATTGTTTTCGAGTGTTTGGTCCCCTGATGAAACACGAGAAACGAGATGCTGTGATGAAATATTTGTCTAGACTTGCCTAGATCAAAATTTTGGTTATAAGGTTGGCAACAAGCTGGGAACAAGCAGTGCGAACACATCCTGTTGACAAGTTGTTGGAACAGCATTGCTACAAGGCTTCTGCAGGTTTGTTACAACTTGTGCGTTTTTACGCAAATACACACCTGTTACACAAGCTAAGGGGTTAGTTGATATTGAACTCACCTTATCTTGATAAACTTTCTTTAACTTCATGTGCGATAATTTTAAGTCGGCTAGCTCCTATATTATGGTTATGTTGAAAGAGATAAGTTATTATTGTGACTGGCCATTTTTAACTGTGAAATGAATGAACACGGTTAGTTTTAGAAAAGTTTTGAGACCTTTTTCTTTTCATCCAAGTCTTTCTGAACCTGCTTCAACTTGAAATCATTTGCTTGAGTTACTTCGTTGACTTTTGTTTTCAGTTCATTACCTAAGTCCTATGTGGAGCAACGAGACATAATAATAGAAAATTTATATAAGGCAAAGAAAAATATTGTTTTTTCATGGTCAGTTTGTCTGTCCAAAATTGAGGTGCACGCGCGCTACGTTTTTCCATTTTTTTTTTTCAAGGGAATGCTTTTTACAGAAGTGGCGAGTGTATTTATAGTTTCTATAGATGCATACATTGGTTTTGACTTTGAGGTATATATAGTAGGCAATGTAAAGCCTCGCTTCCATATGGGCGTAACGGTCGTAAAGATTGAGTCACGATCGTTCTCATCAGCCAAAATACAACATTTTAGAACTGAAAATACGCGGAGTGATTATAACTAGAGAATACTTATGATTTATATGTGGTTTACAGGTATAAACTGTTATAAACTGCCGTTGAGAAAGACCGTGACTCTATTTTCCATATGGAAACCAGGCTTAATTATGAAAGCATTATCAAACTCTGCAATTCTTCGCGGTGGACTAAGAGGACAAAAAATTCGCTCTGCCTCTGGTTGTGAGCTTTGGTGTGGTAAAGTATTCTGTTTACGCGTCCAGTCGATTTATGAGAGATATGAAAAGTAGCGAATAGTGGTTGTTCCTTGAAAAGTAATGCAGAGCTCATATCATATTGCCATATCTTGCTATATCTTATATTTTCCAAACTTTACCGTTATTTCATGTCGAAGTTTCTTATTTTCTCTTTCAGCATTTAACTTTTGTGTTTCTAATTTCTCACGTTTATTCCATTCAGTGGCGTTGTCTTTTTGCAATCTCTCGATCTAAAACAAGGATCGAAATTTTTTTTCACTGTCACAAGATGAATTTTAATAAGATGATTATTTTAAATAGATGATTTTTGTTAATTCGGTCTTATTTTTGTTAATGGGCTTATTTGCTTCAGGAACGTTTCAGGGCGGTTTATTTGGAGAGGAGCTTGCATGATTATAGAGAGGAGTAATTATTAACGAGAGGATTAATAGAGAGGGGGCTTAATAGAGAGAGAATAACAGAGAAGTGGTTTAATTAGAGAGAGGAGTTAATTGGGGGGGGGGGGGGGGGG